CACACACACACACACACACACACACACACACACACACACACACACTCATATACCTTCATGCACCCTAACATTCACATTCAGACTCATATACACTCATGTTGTCTACACATTCACACTCACAATTATATGCACTCATGCATCCCCCACACATGCACTACATGTACTTACAATCTTACTCCTGCCTGCACACACACACACACACACACACACACACACACACACACACACACACTTTGACAAGGCACCCACAAGGAAGGAGCTAAGTACTCAGGAGCCACCCCTGACATATGTTACTAGGGGTCTTTGTGTGGAAATCACAGACACTCAGGGTGGCAGGATTCCCAAGGCCACCTAGTCCCCAAGCCAGCTCTCACTTCTGTCCCTCTGCCTGGAGCTGAGCTACCCTCACATGTGAGAGCCCAGTCCTCTGCAGGGATGCCCCAATTCAGGCACTGGGAGCAAGTTTCGAGCAGTCCAACTAGCCGGCCACAAGCCTGCAGGCTCCCAAGGCCACCATCAGCCCTGGAGATTTGCTTGGGAGATTTCCACATCCCAGGAAACAATATCAATTAAAGACTTATTTTATTAGTTATGTGTATACTTGCGTATCTATGCACATGTATGCACATTTGTGTGTGTAGGTGCCTGGGGAGGCTCAGAAGAGGGCATCAGATTTCCGAGGAGCTGGAGCTACAGTCAGTTAGGAGCCACCCCACATGGGTCTTGGGAGCAGAACTGGAGTCCTCTGAAAGAGCAGCAAGGGCCCATAATGCTTGAGCCATCTCTCCAGCCCTAAGAAAACACTGTTCTAACCATAATGGCTTTTTAAGAAGCCGTGGTCAAATTCACATGGTGTGGAATTTACATTGTAACCATTTTGAAGGGTCTGTGGAGAGTGTTAAGTCCACGTTGCTGAGTAACCAGCATCCACCTTGCTTCACTTTCCAAACCTGACAGGTGTGTCCCTGAACATCTCCATCTCTCCATTCCTCATCTTGTCCTGCCTTCTGTCCTATGACTTTGCCTGGGATCCAGGGACTAGGGCCCAGCCCAGCCCCTAAGAGATAGGCCTATACCAAGAGCCACGACTGTGGCCAGACCTGACAGAAAAGACCTGTGCACCTACAGTTCAGTTGAATACCTGTGGGACCATGCTGTAGAATATTATTTTAAGGGGTGTAACGTGTTTATGTTACATTTGTTTACCTCTGTGAAGCTGTGTTACTCTGTCTGTTTAAAACACCTGATTGCTCTACTAAAGAGCTAAACGGTCAATAGTGAGGAAGGAGAGGGAAATAGGCGGGGCTGAAAGGCAGAGAGGATAAATAGAAGGAGAAATTTGGGAGAAGGAAGGAGAGAGATCTAGGAGCCAGAGAAGGAGGAGGACTCCAGGGGCCAGCCACCCAGCTACACAGCCAGCCACAGAGTAAGAGTAAGATTTACAGAAGTAAGAGAATGGGAAAAGCCCAGAGGCAAAAGGTAGATGGGATAATTTAAGGAAAGCTGGCTAGAAACTAAGCCAAGGTAAGGCCAGCTTTATAAGTAAGAATAAGTCTGTGTGTGTGTGTGTGTGTGTGTGTGTGTGTGTGTGTGTGTGTGTGTGTGTGATTTATTTGGGAGCTGGGTGGTGGGCCCCCAAAAGACCAAAAGAGCTAAAGTCCATAACCAACTAACAACAGGGCCAGATGAGGAGCCCAAGACTCATCAGCAAGTCTGTAGTATCTTGCTGCAGCACCTAAGTACAATTCCTAGAACCTTGTAAACAACTCAGTGTGATGGTAAGACAGGGTGGGTGGACTCTGAGACTTGCTGGTCAGCCAGCCTAACTGAATTGTTGAGTTCTACATAAAAATGAGAGCCCCTGTGCCTGGAGAGGTGGCTCACTGGTTAAGAGCACTGGCTGCTCTTCCAGAAGACTCTGATGCAATTCCCAGCACCTGCAGATGGCTGTCAACTATCTGTAACTCCAGTTCCAGGAGGGTGTAGGAGGGGATCCTACACCCTCTTCTGGCCTCTGTGGGTACCAGGTGTTACATAATGCATAGACATACATGTAGGTGAAATACCAGTACACATAAAATAATTTAAAGATGATGAGGAAATCCTATCTCAAAAAAACAAGGTAGATGGTACCTGAGAGATGACACAGAGGTTGGCCTCTGGCCTACATACACCACACACCACACACCACACACCACACACCACACACCACACACCACACACCACACACCACACACCACACACCACACACCACACACCAGAGAGAGAGAGAGAGAGAGAGAGAGAGAGAGAGAGAGAGAGA